GATAAATTCCAAACATAATGCACCTGAAAATGTTTGAAACTCTCAAAAAGGAGCAATGATCCATTGTTTCCAAAAAGGGTAGTGATTCATCCCCCTCCGTTGAACTTTCCGATGCGGTCTGTGGAGCAAAGAATGGCAGTGCAGTCGGATGTGGAGGCCAATCAGTATACTTTGAAGGCATGTGTGGAAAGCATGACGGCAGTCACAAACTTGTCAAACCGGCTGCAGAGTAGGACAAATGAGGTGCAGCATTTAAATGCCCAACTGGCTCTGCTCCAACGCATGTATAAGGATGCGCGAGCAGAGATAAGTGTGCTAAAGGCGGAAAATAAGGAGCTGAAGCGGAAGGCCACCGCGATGTTCCGTTTTGGAGGTCCGCCATATTCTGCAGTGGAGGAGCAGAGAGTAGTGATCATGCCCAGTGGAGTGGGAAACACGGAGGCAACACCGGCAAGGGCCGCCCAAGACGGAGGCAAGAAGAAAAGACCGGCGACAGAATAGAGAAGAAAAATCCCACCTGTGAATGTGGGTGTTTTTTTGTATTTTATTTTTTTTATTTTATTTTATATTTATTTTATATAAAAATAATTTAACAACCCCTACACTAACAACTATCATTAAAACAAACACAATTTTATTTAATTCCCTTACTATTAATCCTTTCACTATCAATCCCTTTCATTCTATTTCTGAAAACAAACGAGGCCATGGGGATAGGAATTTTTGGGGACAGGGATCCTTGGGCCTCAAAAATTACCCACAATGATATGGTAGGATATATGTCAATTTTTGATTTGTTACACACGTAATAATGGTGAGTCTAACTCCATGCCACATCATTGTGTGTGAAATAAATATATGAATCTCTAACATTACTGTAATGCATTTATTGTTAAATGAATGAAATAATAAAACTTAAAAATAACTAAAGTGAATTTGCTCAGCTTAAAATAAAAACAAAAACATAGCAAAATGGAACTAAAAAAAATGCCCCATAAAACACCCTTAAAAACTTTGAAAAACCAACACCCCCCCCCCCAAAAAAAAAAAACCCAAAACATTAGAAGGTAAAAAAGCTTAGTTGACAAGCAAAAATTATTGAATTAACGATTGTAAAAAAAAATTTAAAAATTAAAAAGCAAAAAAAAAAAAAAAACAGCAACAACAACAACAAGAGGAAGATACCGTCTCAATTAAACAATATAAAACTAATCATAAAACACCCAAAACATTAGAAAAAAATTTGATAAATTTCAAACATAATTCATTTTTGTTGTTAAATGAATGAAATAATAAAACTTAAAAATAACTAAAGTGAATCTGCTCGGCTTGAAACAAAAACAAAAACATAGCAAAATGAACAATTAAAAAATTGTTGAAAATGACAACTCAAAAACTATAAAAAAAAAAGACCCATAAAAACTTTGAAAAATAAGATGAATTAAACAATTTAAAAATTAGAATACCCCCAAAAAAACACTTAAAACACCCAAAACATTAGAAGGTAAAAAAGCTGAGTTGACAACTAAAAATTATTAAATTAACAATTGGAAACAACAATTTTAAAATTAAAACACAAATAAAATAAAATAAATCAATAAACCAATAAACCCAATGAAACATCCATAAAATCAAGAAGATACCAACTCAATTAAACAATATAAAAATAATCATAAAACACCCAAAACATTAGGGAAAAAATGATAAATTTCAAACACAATGCATTTGTTGTTTTGTTAAATGAATGAATGAATGAAATAATAAACTTAAAAATAACTAAAGTGAATATGCTCAGCTTGAAATAAAAACAAATAGCAAAATGAACAATTAAAAAAAAAGTTGAAAACTACAACTCAAAAACTAGAACGAACGAAAAAAAAAAAGCCCCAAAAAACACCAATAAAACTTTGAAAAATCAGATGAATTACACAATTTAAAAATTAGATACCCCCAAAAAAATTAAAACACCCAAAACATTAGAAGGTAAAAAAAGCTGAGTTGACAACTAAAAATTATTGAATTAACAATTGGAAACAACGATTTAAAATTTAAAACACAAAAAAAAAAAAAAAAAAAAAAAAAAAAAAAAAAAAAAAAAAAAAAAACAACAACAACAACAATAACAATAAAACACCCATAAAAACAGGAAGATACCAGCTTAATTAAACAATAAAAAATAATCATAAAACACCCAAAACATTAGGGGAAAAATGATAAATTTTAAACATAATGCATTTGTTGTTAAATGAATGAAATAATAAAACTTAAAAATAGCTAAAATGAATTTGCTCAGCTTTAAATAAAAACAAAAACATAGCAAAATGAACAATTAAAAAATTGTCAAAAATTAGAACAAAAAAAAAAAAACAAAAAAAAAGAAGCCCCATAAAAACTTTGAAGAATCAGATGAGTTTAAACAATTTAAAAATTAGAATACCCAAAAAAAAAAATAAAAAAAATAAATTAAAACACCCAAAACATTAGAAGCTAAAAAAAGCTAAGTTTACAACTAAAAACTATTATTAACAATTGGAAACAACAATTTAAAAATTAAAACGCAAATATATATATATATATATATAAACCAATAAAACACCCATAAAAACAACAAGATACAAGCATAATTAAACAATATGAAAGTAAAACGGAAATTTCGCCAAAATCATTCCAACGGGCCCTTGTTTAATAAAAATGACAGTTCAATTTATTTTGTTTCATCAATCTTTTAAGGAGGAGACACATAATTTAGTAAGGATAAAGTAAAATATATATTTTTTTTCTTAGACAATATTACAAAAGTAATATATTACTATGAACTAAACCAGAATAACATGTTACTGTGAGACAAAATAATATGTTGTTATCAAACAAAGTAACATGTTATTATTTACATCAATTTTGATGGTAATAATTTATTTATTTATTTATTTTTTTAAGAATTTCATAGTCAATATGAATCTTATTTGATAGATCTTGATGAGATGATTCTAAAAATACTAATTTTATTAAAAATCGACATATAGATTAAAAGTTATATTATTTTAAAGTTAAATATTTTGGTAATAGTGATATGTGTTTAACTTTTCAAGAAAAACTTTTTGTGCTTATTTTTAATGCATTAAAATTTTATTATGAAAGGGTTTTGATCAAATCCCCCAAAACATTAGAAAAAAAAATGAAAATTTCAAACATAATGCATTTGCTATTAAATGAATGAAATAATAAAACTTAAAAATAACTACAGTGAATTTGCTCAGCTTGAAATGAAAACAAACACATTGCAAAATGAACAATTAAAATTTTGTTCAAAACTACAACTCAAAAACTAGAACAAAAAAAAAAAAAAAAAAAAAAAAAAAAAAAAAAAAAAAAAAAAAAACAAAACTTTGAAAAATAAGATGAATTAAACAATTTAAAAATTAGAATACCAACAGAAAAAAAAACTTAAAACACCGAAAACATTAAAAGATAAAAAAGCTGAGTTGACAACTAAAAACTAGAAAAATTTACCCATAAATCCTATTTTCTGGAATGTGGAACCATTTAGTCCTAAATGTTTTCTTATACACCATTTAGTCCCATTTTTTTTTGGCAATGTTATTTACGTAATTTTTATTATTTGCAGATTACAATTGTATCCCTATTGTGGGATGTTTGTTTCCTAAATTGGTGGGGAGTCAGTTATTTGATTTGGGGGAGTGGTACTGTTACTGGAGTCAAGGGTTTGGTGAAAACGGGTTTTGGGGAGTCGTTGATGTTCATTGTTTTGTCCTATTGGTTCAGAGTTTGGTGTGTCGAACGGATTTCTGAGATAGGTTTGTCTCTCTGTTTTGTGTTTTTTTCTGCATTATTTCTTGTGGCTGTGTATGTATTGCATGTTACGGTATGAACTACATCAACATTAAAGTCGGTTCTGGTAACATCACGTTTGTGTGCTTCTGGTTGTTGCAAAATATATTCATCACATTGTTTTGTTGATGCTATGTGGTTCTCTCCCTATTATATGGTTTTCCTGCATTTTTTTTTTTGGCTGTGTATGTATTGTATGTTACGGTATTAACTACATCAACATGATGTCGATTCTGGCAACATCACTTTTGTGTTCCTTGTGATTGTTTCATATATATTCAGTACATTGTTTGTTGATGGTATTCGGTTGGTTCAGAGTTTGGTGTATAAAACGTTTTTTTGATATAGGTTTGTCTGCATGATCTTTGAATTTTTCTGCCTTGTTTTTTGTGACTGTGTATGTCTTGCATGTTACTGTGTTAACTACGTCAACATCAAAATCGGTTCTCGTAACATCACTTTCGTATTCTTCTGACTGTTTCATATATATTAAGGACGTTGTGTTGTTGATGTTATGTGGTTGTAAATATTAGTATATATGGTTGTGTCATCAACGTCGATTCAATTAACATTACGTTCGGCTTCTTGTGGGTATTTGATATATCTGTAGCACAATGTGTTGTTGATGTTATGTGGTTGTAAAGATTTGTATAATGTTTGTGCGTTGATGTCAGTGGGTGTTCTTGTATAGCCTAGTCGGTAATGTAATTTTTGAAAGTGGGTACAGTGTTATGTTATTAATCATTCATTGTCGTACGTTTTAGCCATCTATTGATTCAAGTATGGTTTGCGTGCCAGGTATGGATGGTGTGTTGTTGTTGTGCACTTACGGGCAAACAAATGTTGTTGCTTGGTTGCATCAAGCGATGACATTCACACAGCTGCTCGATGATATTTGTGGCAAGTTTGACAACTTGGTACGGGATGCGGTGTCTATGTTATGGGATGTCCCTGGGTATAAGAAGTTTAAGGTTGATAGCAACGACGATATCCAAAACATGTTGTGCCTTGCGGAGTCATTCGGGCTGAAACATTTTGATGTTCTTATTCAAATTCAGGACGTTCTGGTGGGCGTTAACTACGGGGGTGCGTATTGTCTTGAAGGTCAAAAGTTCAATTTTGGTAATCAAACGTTCGGTGTGGATGATTAGATGGATCTGTTACCAACATATTGTCCTAACAAATCAAAGACGTTCTTGTCTGCTCAGTGGGCATTCGGGATTACCCATGTTGGTCAATGTTTCGCCGGTGGCGTTAGTGAATTTCAGGAAATATTATGCAAGTATGCCGTTGAACGCGGGTTTCAATTCAAATATTTGAAGAATGATTCAGTTTGCATTACGGCGGTTTGTAAGTTTGCTGAGTCCACAGGATGCGTGTGGTCAGTGCATGCGAGGGTGTTGTCATTGAACGGGATTCTATGCGTTAAGAAGTTGGATAGTGTGCACAATTGTGGAGCTGCTGTTCAAACACATACAAACCCACGTACGGGGTCCGATTTGGTTTCAAGCGTTGTCGCAAATCGAGTGTGTGCTAAGCCACTGACGCGTCCTACGGACATTGTTTTCGATTTGAAAAATGACTACGGTTTGGATATTAGTTACCGGGTTGCGTGGTTAGGGGTTGAGAAAGCAAGAGGTGTAGTATACGGAGATCACGCTATGTCATTCGACCAACTTAGGTGGTATAGTGAATCCGTTATGGAAAAGAACCCAAACAGTTACATTAACCTTGAATTTCACCAACAAACTAGGAGGTTTGTTCGATATTTTATATCCTTCCATGCATGTATAGATGGGTTTAACCATTGCCGGCCGTTACTCTTTTTGGATGGCACGTTTCTCAAAGGTAGATTCGAGGGGAATTTGTTAGCTGCTACCGCGAAAGATGGCAATAAAGGTGATGTATCAGATTTTATGCTTTACTCTTTGCTAACAAAAAAATTTGTCACATTTCAGGTCACATTTTTTTTAATGAATCTTTTACATATATATGTACTGTTCGCAAATTTTCAGATGTGTACTCTATGATGTGTACTCCAATTATGTTTTCGTCTAATATTTTTTTGCAGGCTTGTTTCCGGTGGCCTTCGCAATTGTTGATTCCGAAAATCAACAAAATTAGGAGTGGTTTTTACGGAATCTTAAAGAAGTCGTGGGTGACGGGCGTACGTTGACGTTCATTTCGGATCGTCACGCGGGTCTCTTACAATCTATGCCAATTATATTCCCCTCAACACATCATGCATTTTGTTTGCTACATCTTCAAATGAATTTGAGAGATCGAATGAAATACGTTAATGCATCTCGTAAAGTTGGGTTGATGCGGAAGCTTCGAGAATGTGCTTATGCCCCTACAATTCCATCTTACAACCAGAAAATAGAGTTGTTGAGAGAGTGTAGCCTGACCGTGGTTGACAACTTTTTGAAAGACTGGCATCCATCCCACTGGGCTAATGCGTATTTCATGTAAGATTGATTGTACCCGTTCTATGTAGTACGTTAATGGGTTCAATTTTTTCCAATTTCTTACATACTCTAACATGCTTAGTAGTTTGTTTCTTTTACTTAAATTTTTGTGTTCAATGTTATTATGCTTTTCTAGGGGGCAACGTTACGGTGAGATGTGGTCGAGTGCAGCTGAATCTTTTAACAACTGGATACGGGATGCGCGTCATCTTCCAATTACTAGGTTGGTTGACATTATTAGGGGTCAAATAATGGAACAAATGACGGAGCATAGAGTCAAGGCAAGGGAGTGGACTGGCGTGTTATGCCCGAAAATGGAGAAGAAATTGGTCACGGCGTATAATGACAGCAGGGGCTGGAGTGTTAGTCAGGCTGATGACAATGCTTACGAGGTGCATAGTCAACCCTCTGTTTTGGTTGACGTGGCAAGGCGATCATGTTCATGTTTCTAGTGGCAGCTGAATGGGTTTCCATGTTCTCATGCTGTTGTCGTTTTCTGTAATAGTGGACGGAATATATACGATTCTATTGAAACGTTGTAGACACCCCATTTTTGACCGTCCTCAAGACTTGGACGTCACCGTTTGAACACTCGGTGATCATCTTTGTTTGTGTTCGTCTTGAGTTCCTAGAGGTCTCGGCTACGCGCCTTGCCTCAGGATCTCTCGACTCGACTGTTTTGTGTTTGGTCTCGCACCAAACACTTGTGTTTTTGCTTTGGAGGGCAGGGAATGGCTTGTTGGCCATCCCCACACTCCACCGGCCATGGCTTGAGGCCACCGGCTGTGTTTTGTTGCCATCAGTTAAGTATTTGGCCGACCGGCACTCTAGATGGTCGACTGACCATGTATTTTGGTCAAATTGCATTTTTGGCTGGCCGACCACTGTTCATCTGCTTTTGCAGATATTTTTATGCCAGCTGGGCTAGCTGGCATACACTTTGCTCCCCTCCATACACGTGTATGGAGGGATCTCCCTCTTGACTAGCTTACTTGAGAAGCTTTGCAAGAGTGAGCTCTATAAGAGGGAGCCTCTTCTCCCTCCATTAGGGTTAGAAAAAAAATCCCAGGGGAGCTCTGGTTCTAGGGTTAGCATAGTATATCTATTCTATCTCTATTTCTCCCTCCATTTTGCCTTGTGTGTGTGTTTAGTCTTACTATTGCACACAAACACCTAGTCCTACACCTTCTCCTGGTTACTGAGGGACCAGAAGGCTGTTCTTGGTGTTTTTGGGTGGTTTTGAGCTTAAAGAAGCTGCTGGAGCATCATTCTTGAAGAGGGTCAACAAGGGTAAGATTCTTGCCCTTTTTACCCTATATTTGCATAGTCTTTTTGCCTATCTTGCAACCTTTTTTAGACTCTGTGTATAACACATAAAGTCTTGTTTTTGCCTGCTTTAAATAGTTGTTTAAGAGTGTTTTGTTGTTTGAGGTCGTTTAACCCCTCTTAGGGCTTGTTTGGCCCCATTTTGTGCTATTTTGGGTGAGCTCCGGGACCACCTTGTTTGGGCCTCCTCACCACTGAAATCTTGAGGGATTTCAGTGGTGAGGATGGTGCCTTGAGGTCTTAAGAAGGAGAGGGCCACCCCCTCTCCTTGTTGTCCTTGAAAAGGGCCATTTTTGCCTCATGTGTGAGCATCCTTTTTAAGTTCATGTTGGCCATGTCTTAAGTGTTATTTGTGCTTATTTTGCCATGATATAGCATTGTTTTTACTTGGTTTAGGCACACCATGCTTGCTTTGCATACTTGTCTTGCAATGCCATGAAATTGCCTTAATATGTATCTAGCATTTAGACCACTATGCTTACTTGTTTTGGCTTAGCTTTGTGAAGCTTTTATGCATGTTTTAGTGTGCTTGAGGACTTTTTTTGGTTGTTTGGGTCATCCATGATTTGCTTTGCATAGCTACCATGTAATCCCTCTTGTAGGCCTTAAGTATCGGACCCTCTAGCATGCTATCCTTGCATCGTTTCAGTGGCTTAGAACCACTTATAGTATCATTTCAGTCCTCATGGCATTCTTGTATGCTTGCATTTGATGTCTCTTTAATGCTTTATAAGGTTGTCATCTTATGCTCCATGTTTGGCCTCTTTTGTATGCTTGCATGTTTAGACCATTTAGATGCCATCTAGATGTGTTTTTGGCTTTGTTTTAACATGCTAAGACTCTGATTTTGGTTGTTCAAATCATGTCATGTTTGATTTTGCTAAGTGTAGTTCAATACATCTTTGGCTTGCCTTGAGTTTTGGGTTTGCTTGCATGTTTTGCTTGCTTTAATTAGTTGGTTTGGCACCTCTATTTCATGCAATTTCAGAGCCTAGCATGCTTGCTATATTCCCATTTTCATCTCATTTTAAGTGTGCTTAAAAGTTGCCTCTTTGTGCTTAAGTGTCGAACCATGTTTGCATGCATGACTGTATGTTTAGATACTTGGTTCATGACATGTAGTTGCATGCTTGAATAGTGTTGCGTTTGGCATGCATTTCTTGTTAAGTTGTCCAACATGTTATATGCCTTGCATGTGTACAGGTTGACATTACACTTTGCATGCTTGTTAGTTGCATCCTTGCATGTTCATTTGCATGCTCATGTTGCATGTTTAGAGTGCATGCTTAGGTTGTATTTGACATGCATGCATTGCCTCTTGAATTGAGTATGATAGAAGTTAGGCCTCATTTGTTTGTTTGGTTTGCATTACATTTGAAATCAAAATGCACAACTTGGTTCCTTGGGCCATCACGCATTGAAATGCGCGATTAGTGGTCCGAGAATCAAGTACCATGCTCCTTTGAGTCATGAATATGATAAGGAGTGTGGTTAGTGCAAACATTGCTTGAAATGCATTGCCATGCCATGTTTTTCCCTCTGCGGCTGTCAAAACAGGTTTCTGCAGACAAAGATGGCCGATCGACTACATAGAGTGCCGATCGACCAAAAGTTTGTGGCCGAGAGCTCAATCAATGGTCGATGACCATCCTGCCATGGTCGGTGACCATTTGTCTTAGCCGGTGGTGTTCCATAGTGTCCATAGAGTGCTCCCTGGGACTTTTGCAATTTTCAGAGGAGCAGAACAGGGAAAACAGAGGCAACTTGTGCATAGCGACGGGTTTCCGAGCAAATCCGAGCACGCATGCATTGGACCCTCTTCCCGAGGCATTTTATCGCTTTCTTTACTTAATTGATTTGTTAATTAATTGGGTGGCCTGTAATATTTAATTAGCTTGTAGGTTAGTTAAATCTATATTATTCTTTTGGTCCCTGCGAGCGAGGGCGAATTTGTAATAAGTGTGGGTGCGTGTGTGCATGTCTTTTAACCCCCACTTCTTTCTCCCTTTTACTTACCTGCTTTTGATGGTTAGTATTAGGGCACGTTTAATTTAACATACCTTATGCTATGCATGCGTATATCATTCATCAGCCTTGCATGCACCGGGCTCGACGCATCATGCTAACCGCATAGTATTTCAATTCCAAACTTAAATACGTGCATCGATTTCTCGTATTTCACATGTCATCCTTAGATTAGCCGAGCCCATTCTAATGACATTTTTGTATGTGATGCATTAGCCACTTTAACATGAACTAGGATCATGCATGATTACTAACTAGTTCATTGATTTGGCACAGAGTACGATGTAAGTATTTATGCTTTAGCATCTCGCATAAGTGTGAATGTTAACATGACAGCATGCTTACCATGGGGCTATGTGCTTATGTGATATTACTGAATGAGTGCTTGTGGGTGAAGGTTGGATTGTTTGAATTGGGATAATTCATCGAAATCCGTATTTTAGCCTACTCGCGAGTAGCAAAATTCAAACCATTTTCTAAACAAACGGAAATGCGATGCTTTGTTCCGATTTAGGCAATTTAGTCTATACTTGTTTTGCTGTGCGCATCACATAGTAATTCTAGGTTAATAACCGGAATAGGAACACATAATGCTTTCAAAACAAGATATCACGGTTAGTAGAGGCCGATCTTTGATCGGGCGAGAGGGGGTGCTCATAGCTGACCTTCCCCAATCGTACCCAAGTTCCAGAGCCGAGGCAACTTTGGTGATGACGGACACGTGGCCTTTGGCACCGAGTCAGGGTTTCCTAAATTTCCCAAAATAAAATATTTAGGTGACGACTCTGTATCTGGCAAAATAGTCCATGTTTGGCACTTCTTTTCTAAAAATCTGTTTTCCAAAACGATTTGCCAGATTTGGACTCTTTGGTTCAGATTAAGAACCGTGACAATTTGAGAGTCCTGAACTGTAGTGAACCCAATATGAACAGAACGGGACTCATCCTCCCGGGGCGTTCGGGGATGTCTACAAACGTACTACCGTATTGACAAATTTCAAGCTTTGTATAGCGGAACAATTTTCCCAATTCCAACTGTTGACAAGCCGGAATTTTTGCCCAATGATTTTATGATAGCGCCCCCAAAGGTGAAGCGTCCACCTGGCAGGCCGAAACGTAAACGAATTCTATCAAAGGGCGAGGTTGTGCAACGGATTCGATGTGGTCGGTGTGGAAAAATAGGCAACCACAACAGGAAGACCTGCAAGGAGCCTATTTGATCATGTTATAGCAAGTTTATTTCCTTTTTTTTTTTTTAGGTGTTTTCCCAATTCTTTGAACTTCATACTTTTTATCTGTTTTGTCA